ATTCCGTTTTATATGAATTCCATGTTGTACGAGTCACTTAGATTTTACAAATACGTATGCCGGGCTGTGAACGGCTTACGTATTTGTAAAATCTAAGTGACTCGTACAACATGGAATTCATATAAAACGGAATAATCAACAGTGTTATAGGGGGTCGACTTTATTAGGTAAAATATCGTAAAATAAGCTGGGAATTCTTTCTAGAAAATAAAATCTTTTGTTATTTTGAAGCACTTATCTACACTTTACATTAACGATTTTATAATTTGCAGGTTGTAGCCAAGGAAAACGTCATTTCATAATAACTTTTTACGTATTGTGATGGAAGGAATTTCACTGGTACAGTTCTAAGAAAAAATTAATGCCCTTCGAAAAATATAAGTCTTTTCTTGACGTTTGACAAATGGATTTTTCATAATATAGCGTGAAGTCGATTACGAAATTCTGTTTGTGTTCAGGACGTTTTTTTAGTAATTTGAATCTTCATTAATGTATACGTTACTCGGCTACATGCTAAACGTTTTATTATAATAACAATAACAATGAGTAATTTTGATGATAAAATAAGCCACGAATATTAAATTTATGTTAATAATTTCTTAACAAACTTGTTTTAAATGTATTGATAACTAATTCACCTTGAAAATAAGCTTTATTCTATTGCTAAAATAATAAAGCATTGTTTTGTCATAATTATATGGCTTACAATAAAATAAATTTACATTTAGAATAATTTTTAAAAGCTTTACTTAATAAAAATAAAATTTTTTTAACTTTATAGAAGCCATTTTTCAATACTATTTAGGTAAATGAGTTATATATTTAACAGTTATTATCAGGGTGAAGATACTATACGAGGGTGTCGAGAGAATCGCTGTATCAGGAGGGAGAATTTACATACGCTCCAAGTATATAAATTATTTGAAAATTTATGGTGATAAAGTGTTATAAACAATTACTATTAATCAGTTTTCTAGTCATTTAAATAAAATATTAATTCAACATTTAATGGTTGATGGAATACAGTTATGAATATGCAACATATGTTTCTATTTATTGTTTTTTTATTACACATTGATGGAATGATTATAGCTTTGTGAAGGACGTAATCAGTTTCTACATCAGTTGTTACTTGACAAATCTCGTGATTTTAGAGGCCTCGATCTATTTAAAAAAATATATATATATTTCAACGTTTAAACATCGTTAAATTAATTTTTTTTATCACTAAAGAGTTAATATTAAAATTTCTATATCAGCTTTTTCAATAGCGGATTATGTTCCCTCGAAGCCTAGGCTCAATTATAAGGCACTTTATGTAAAACTGTCTTTATATACTAAAAAGACAATAAAATCCTTAAATAATAACAAACTTTTTCTTCGTGATATACAATTTTTTAACGTAATTTTTAAGGCTCCTCGACACGACGAGGTTCTAGTATTATTATTATTGGTTAAACCGCCATTGTACAGTACTTATTAACATAATAGTAAAGTCAAGTAAAAATTAATAAAAATGTTTAACTGATTTTATGTTATATCACTCAAAATATAATTTAAAAAATTATCGCGTACTAAATATTATCTATCACATTGTACTGTATAATTTAAATGAATACACAAACTCACACTGCATAAATTTACCTTTAAGTCAATGAATAAATAGTACTAGATTCTTGTCTATAAATATAAATCCTAAAAAATTATTACCTTTATGTTTTGTCAATTGTGAAGTATTACGTTTCTCCTTTGCCTTCTATCTGTAAAGTATACATCAGTTTGATGTGTTGTGTATATTGTATAGCATTACTCAACCAAACCTTAACTACATAATACTTTAAATAACTATTACTGACTTCAATTCGTATTGTCTACAAATGATCATCATTAAAAACTTTTTCCCTAACAATTCTATAGAGAAATTGCGAATTTCGAGTACTTTCCCCCCACTCACTTTTTATATAAAGAGTGCTGTACTGTACATTACAATAATCATTAAAATAACGTTATGGATGAAGACACACTTGCCTAGTATAATTTCAAACAGAAAAATTAATTTATTTTAGTAATAAATATTTTAAATTAGAAAGTAAACAATGTGTTATTTGGATTAAATATTGGAAAATTATATAAATATAATTATTGCATTATAACACTTCATTCTCTGTTTAGACAGGTTTCCCTTTATTCAGTTTCCGTTTTGAACAGGTTTTACTGTATTTGAAAAAAATATATATATATTTCAACGTTTAAACATCGTTAAATTAATTTTTTTTATCACTAAAGAGTTAATATTAAAATTTCTATATCAGCTTTTTCAATAGCGGATTATGTTCCCTCGAAGCCTAGGCTCAATTATAAGGCACTTCATCTAAAACTATCTTTATATAATAAAAAGACAATAAAATCCTTAAATAATAACAAACTTTTTCTTCGTGATATACAATTTTTTAACGTAATTTTTAAGGCTCCTCGACACGACGAGGTTCTAGTATTATTATTATTGGTTAAACCGCCATTGTACAGTACTTATTAACATAATAGTAAAGTCNATAGAATATTTAAAATGAGATATTCATTCCTGTATTGTATATTTATCAAAATATAAGAAAAATATATCGTTTGGGCCTTTAAATGCTCTTCTGAAATTATAATTGGTGTATCGTTTTCGACTTTTAGTAGGCCTTTATTTCATTGAAATTCATTCAAAAGCTATTGAAAAATAATCTACGAAATTTAACATCTTTTTGCATTATATCTAGTGAATTAACTAAATATTCAATATTCTTAAAATGATTTAAGATAACGCGCTACTCTCAACTGGTAAGGAATTAAATACATTCTAGTCTTATCTCGTTTTCTATTAGGTTGATACCGAATAACAGCTTTGAGTAACTAATTTCTGCCGTTCTGTTAATATTCTTCAGCCATTTTTATTAGTATTCCTTTATTCTCCATCTTTAATCTGTTTCTTCGATTGTACAACCGTGCAACATCTAGAAGTGGTTTCAAAAATACATTTAAGTAGCTCTAATTTTCTACATTCCTTGTTATTCGGGATCTATATCAATAAATTCCTTATCTCATATTAGTTCCAAGTGTCAATCAATATCTCACTTTCTTATTTTAAAGAAATATGCAAGTGAGATATGGATTAATTTTTAATTATCAATAACTTTTTTAATGTACGTAATTATACTTTCAAAGGATCTAATATAGGAAAAATAAACCGAATTAAAATATATTTTGTATAGGCTAATATAATTATTTATTTTTAACTGTTAGATCGATTTTCCATAAGTGTATCGTTTTCTGGAATATCAATCATTGTTTCTTTTGTCTTCTTTAATTTCATACAAGCCATATCCCAAACATTTAAGGTAACAGGAATAATGAAAATCCCATGAAAAAATGCAAATACCATTACTAAAGTCGTGATTTTAAAAAATATAATAAACGTATGAGAAGGTGCAAAAGCTAGCACAATTACACCGAGAATAGTAGACAAACAACCTTGAAAAATAGGATGGCCTGTTGCATAGAGTGCTTCTCTAAGTTTATCATCGGGATTTTCTTTCTTACATGTAATATAGGCATAGGATATATGAGCAGCATAATCAACTGATAATCCACTAGCCATTATGAGACATACCATTGATATCGTATCTAAATTAACACCCCATGCAAACATCGAACCAATTACTCCAGTTTCAATCGATGCTATAGTAAGAGCAACACATACGGCACATTTAAATTTTGGTATAAATAAGAAAAATACAATTGTTATAGTTGCAACGGCTATACATAACGTCTGTAATGCTGTTTGTTTAACGTATACGTGTTGACTGTATACTAAAAACCATAAATTGTGGATATATACAGGATATATGCAATTATCAGCAGTTTTCCATAACCAACTTAATAATTTTCCTTCCATATGAGGATTCAAGATATTTTTGGTTGCAATAAAGAATCTACTAGCCAAAATCTTAGTTTTATTTTCGTTAAAGATAACATCTTGATTAAATCGATGAGAAGTAGGAAATTTTAAAAATATATCACGAAATGCTTCAATGAAATCTCCAGAAATACTAAGATTATAACCACTGTAAGAGAAGCGCAATCTTGATTCTTTAAAAGTCTGTAAGAAGTATTTCAACCAGAAATCAGTAGTTTCTTTGCCAGCCATGAATTCACTATTTGTAAAATTATCAATCATTTCTTGAACATTTCGTTGAACTTCTAAGTTAGAGTAATCTAATGTTTTATTAATAACAACTTGTATAACGTGCGGATACTCTGTGAAATATTCATAATGCTTATTTGTATAATTCAATGCATACGAGGAGTATGGATACACATTGCTATAATTCATTCCTTGCTTATAATATTTCAATGAAAAAATACTTCCAGATATGTAAATTATAGTTAATATAATGACGATAACTTTTGACTGTGGCATTGTTAATATTTTCCCTAATTTATCTCTATAAAATTTCAAAATAGCACTTTCGTTATGAAATTCAGTTGATCCTTCCTTCACCCAACCGATATAAAGTAGATTTGTAAGAAACGATCCTGAAACATAATTATAAATTTATATTCATTTAATACATTTATTAGAATTAATAATAATAATAAACATACCTGAATATTTATCTAATTTAACGGGTATACAAAAAACAGAATGGATACATTTATTTTCTCTATATCCAGTAATGGCTAAGATTCCTCCAAAAAATGTTATCTGACACAAATAAGCGAATACAATTGATAAGGAAGCGTAAAGGGAATAATTTTGTATGACTCTGTAACTTGTAGTCATTCCTATACAAAATGAGAGGAAATTTGTAAGTGAAGTTATGGTAATAGAGACTGCTGCTTCCGAATAAGTTTCGCTCATTCTCTTTTTGACACTCATTTTTGGATCAGTTCTACGCCACGCTGCCAAGAGAACAAACGAATCATCGAGACCGACACCTAAAAAAATCGAATTTATAAATATTATGAGTTTAAATAACTTTAGAATTTAATTATTTTCATTTACTTACCCAGAAGAAGAAAGGGTATCGAGATATTTAAATCAAAATATTCTATATCAAACCATAGAAGGAGTCCAAATGCTCCAGAAACTCCAAGAGCAGATGTTAAACATCCAGCAACACCTATCCAAGGCTTGCTAGTTACCCAATTTGTGGTCATAGATGTTATTACAGCGAAAACTACCATGACAGTAATGGCCACGGAAAGAAGAGGTAATATAGATTCTGTTATTCGGTTAAATTCATTATCTATTGTACTCCCAACAAATAAATAAATATTGACATAATCTGAATGGTAGGTTTTAAAAGTTTGTAAGAACTTTTCCTCCCACATTAAACTTAACATATTCCTTTCTGTATTCTTATAATCTAGGAAGTATAATAATCTCATGGCTTTTACGTCTTGAATGTAACCATTGTCATCTGTGGTTACCTTTCCCAATGAGAAGGCATAAAATATAGTATTAAGTGTTATGTCATCGATTTCATAAGGATATCTGAAATAATAAATAAAATTACACTAAAAATATGTGTTGGGTAGTCATATTTAAATAGATAAATATAAAATTATACTTATATTTGAAATTTTAGCGCTTAAAACAATACATATGTTAATTCAAAAATAGAAAAATAAGCTGAAAGAAGATGTAAATTAGAGAAATATCCTATATAAAGTGAATAAGATTTAAATGGAATATACAAAGAGTGTCTCGAGTCAAAATTTATGGCACATTGTTAAAAAGAAGACGTAGAGACAAAGATATTTTAGTGTTCTGAAGACCGTGGTGCATTTTCTTATGAGCAATTACTTAGGATCCCACAAACTAAAGCACCAAACCAATCTTTTATAAGAAAATATACCAAAAAAATTCTCCCGAAGAAAAATGCCTGAAGTCAACACTGTACATAAGGCTCTCTAATTGAAATTCTCCAGACCGCATGAAGGTATAACGCCCATTGCCTGAAGAGTCTGTTTACTGTTCAGTTCGGAATATTTCTCGGGTAAATACAATGTACAGTTACGCGTGTAGCAATACGAATATGTCGAGGACGTTACATAGTATAAATATGTTCGATGAGATACATACTGAACGAGTAAATAATTATGTGATATTTTCAATTCGTTTGTAGAACTGCTCGTACTACTCGAGATTATGAGATGTGACAGATCACTCAGAAAAGTGTGCCTGTTTGTATACAGCAACGAATCATATGGGAAATCTGTCAAAGGCATGCTTCCCAGGAAGACTCTATTGTAAACTGGACCCCAATTTAGATGTTAAAACAGCGAAGAAAACCCAGAAAATTACACGTTGACGAGGTGCAACCTGACGACCACGGGCCCTTTTAATTGTAACCATTTGGGTTCGACCACGTCCAGAATGAGAGCAGCCGGGAAGACCATCCCGAAAATTCCCAGGGTTTTTTTTTTCGATAGCCCGGATTGAACCATGCTGTAAGCTGGAGTCAATTAGTTTTAGTTTAAGTTTAATTTAATTTAACAGCTTATATATGCTAAAAGAATTGTTTGGTGAGATACGACAACGCAACACGTGGGCAATCTGCCAAGGGCAGATGTCTTCCGGCGAGATTTTTTAAAATAGAAAACTGGTTCCAATTTAGATGTTCAACACGTGAAGATAATTCGAAAAACTCCACGTGGCCCTCACTGAACCCACGATCAACCACTAATGATCAATGGTGGGCGAAATTTAGAAGAGAAAAATTTTAAAAGGAGAGTATAAGATACATTTAAGATGTACCCAAGTGATATAAGCGACAAAGAATGGAAGATAATAGAGCTATATTTTAAACCTAAAAAGACTAGAAGACCAAGAAAACATAATATTAGAACAATTATTAACGCAATTCGCTATGTGATGAAAATAGGCTGTCAATGGAAACAATTACCCATTCTCTAAACACTCTTCATTCAAAATACGATTTTGAACTATATGTGTCTTAACAGTGTACGGTTTAAAGCTTATAAATAAATAAATTTAAAATATTTATTAAATAATATAAAATTTATAACAATACTTTTAAATATATTTTACCTTATTCGGATTCTCTTATTTTTAATATCTTCAATTTTACCTTTAAGTTTCAGTAAATCATTTTCAAGACATTGACCTTGATAGGTTGTTGCACATAAATCCGAGTATTTGTATGTCCTATTTTTCCAAATAATACTCATATCTTCGACAGCTTTGTGAGCTTTAACAACCTCGTCCATGAAAATTTCTTTCATAAGAGATCCTTGATTTTTTTCTTCGAACATCATTAAACCTAACCTTCCAAACCTTGTAATTCTAGAAACATCAATGTCAGACATGTTTGGAGGGAATATAGATTCCACTGCATTCCTCTCAATTCTTGCTCTTCCATTTAAAGGACTGTACATATATTCTGTATTTTTTAATATTTTTATTCTATAAAGTCCTGTCGAAAATATGGCTATTATTAGCAATGGTATTAATGAGAATTTTAATGGATATTCTCCTATACAATAGCCCAATTTTCTAAATGATCGTGATAAATGTCTGTGGATGAAATCGTACTTCATCTTGTTTCTGGAAAGAATATAAAAATTATTAGCACGTGTCTTCTTATTAAATAATAGCTATACACGTTCCTACACTTACTAGATACTAAGAAATGTAAATAATTAGGTAAACTTTTTGTTTAATTCTGCTTAAAATTACTAATTTAATGTGGAGATAATATATTTAAAATTAAATTAAAAATTACAACACGGCATTGTGACAATATCACAATAAATAATTAATTGTATATTTTTATGTTTATTTCACAATAAATTTTTAAAAGTATAATTAAATTTTCTCCATAAAACTTTTTTCTACTTGTATTATATAATGAATGCATTTACGAACAAGTACAGTACTTTAATTAATAACACTAGATTTATTGCGGTTACAACATATAATTTTCTAACATTAGGCATAGACAATGAAGATAATTATATCTTTAATAAAAAAATAATAATAATTTTGTATCATTAATTAATAATCAATAAAACTAGAGGAAATTGTATTCAAAGTATCGATGATTCAAATTTCTTTCCACCTTGAGGGCCTTTTCTTTACCATACTCATCAAGGACTGAAAAAGGGGAGGCCGAATGACAAGGAGGGCTTAAAATAGGGACTGACCATCCCTGAAAACTTCACGGCTTCGATCTCAGGTCTCTCAAACCTATAGGTTAACACCTTAACTGCCCTCCATCTTGTACAGTAAATATTTAAATAGTCAATAACTGAAATATAAATAACCTACTTAAGATAATTGTATATACAGTATATTCCTAACTGTACAAATTATTATGATAAAAATAAGAATATAATAAAGTAAACTATTTTTAGTAGACTTTATTATGGGTGTAACACCTGAAAAATTAAATAAGGTTACTGAAAATTTAAATGTTTATTTACACATTTAGTTATAATAAATTATATACATGTTAAGTATGTGTACTATTGTAATTGAAGCGAAGTAGCTATGTGTTATTCTACCTTTCTTCCGTTTTCAAGTAAGATAATGTAAACATAAATAAATATTGACAGTAGAAATGGTGTCGAAAAAACAATATATATATATATATATATATAACTACTTTTTTTTACACGCAAACGACTTCTGCAGCTGTTTTAACTCTGAAATAAGTACAGTCGACCCCCCCTATAACACTGTTGATTATTCCGTTTTATATGAATTCAATGTTGTACGAGTCACTTAAATTTTACAAATACGTGAGCCGTCCACAGCCTGGCACAAGTATTTGTAAAATCTAAGTGACTCGTACAACATGGAATTCATATAA